TGCCACAGAGGACTGGTCCACTGCCCCCACAGCCCAGGCCTCTGAGTGGGGTGGTGCCACTTCTGACTGGTCTTAAATCTTTGACTTTGGCAGCAATAAAAGTGTTTTGTACACTCCGATGTTGTTATTCTGTTGACTCATGATATTTACTGAAGGTCCCTGTTGGATGGAATGTTTCTCTAAAGACAGATTTTAAGCCACTGAAATTTAGGACATTGAACCATTTGCGTCAGTAATCTTGTTAAGTGAACCCACCACCCTGGGGGGGGTACATGCAGATAAATCTGTTGGTACCACTCAGATGCTTTTTAGGGGAATTTATTTTGTGGGACATGTTTAAGGTGTGCTAAGAATGAAAACTGCTCAAATGAACGTTAGCATGGTTGAGAATCGCATCATTTTTCCAAGTTGTGTGAATATGTACTGTTGATCTGACTTCTAGGGGAGGGTGTGTCGGTACAGCACAGGTGAAAGATGCACACATGACTGGGCTTCTATTACATTATAGATCCAGGACACTTGACCTACAAACTGCCATATTTCACCCCAAGTGCAGCACGTTGGTCTGAGTTCCAAATGAAATGGTCAGATTTAGTGCACAGTGCAGAATAAATCACTTAATTTGCTGAAGGGAAAAAGATGAGTGAAGTCAGGTCCAGCAGAAATGTGTAGACTGGTGGAAATGGCACAGCGTGCTAGTGAATGTCCTGCTTTTTAAATGTTACAGAAGTATACTTTTCCTGCTTTATTTTTGGGATATGTACAGCCCAGCATCTATTTTATTAAACACTTCTTTTTCCTGAAAGATCAACTTTTATTTTCTACTGATTGAAAAATGTCTGTAGGAAACTTGTACAACACAGTAGCTGTAAATGTCAAAAAATAACTGGGTCGGGAATAAAAACTAACCAGTGTAGATTTAATTTGAAATGGATGAAATTGCTATTTTTGCCATCAGTTGTAAATGAGAGGTTGCATGTGTGTTAAAAACATGAAATATAAGTTGTGGTAAACGGCAATGGTGGAAAGTAAGTACAATTACTCAGGTAGACTACTGTAGTTGTGTACAAATTCAATGTATTTGTACCTTATTTGAGTATTTTTTTGCTACTCTGGACATTGTTGGGTAAAATTATTAACAAAGTTATACTCTAGGATTGGTTCTAACATTTGATTGAATTAAGTACTTATTTAGTAGAAGATTGACACCATGACTGTTGTTCATTTAACCTGTGTGTTCACTTTGTTTGTGTATGACTCAGGGCTGCCACTAGCAGTTTTGGGCCCTATGAAAGAATTTGAAGTTGGGCCCTCTAAGCTAGTCTCTGTGGGCCCCCAAAGTTCATGGGCCCTTAGAATCGTCCTAACTTTTCCCCCTCTAACGGCGCCTGTGGTAGGACTATTCTATCCTATTAGAAAAGGAATAGTTAAGATTATATTTTAGAATATATAAGTTCACACACTTGCATGTCACAGATATGTTTATGAAGTTACTATTCACCAAATTATATGTTCACTAACATGATGAGAAAATAAGTTACTGTATGGACACTGAAAACTCTGTGTGATATTACAGGCCCATGAGATTAAAAGTGTGGTGCACTGAGTAGCTCTCCAAGGTCTCATCATCCCACAGTCCATTAGATTTGTTGCCTTTTCTCCACAGAGCTCATTATTCCCTCTGAGCTGTGAAGCCAGGGGAGTTAGGGTTTGATAAGATACTAAGATTCACACCAAGGTTATAATCAGATTTTGGCCTAGAAGAAACAGCTGCCTGGTAAAATAGCTATTGTGTTCCCTCTTGTCCTGAAGACAAGTTGAACGGTTTTGCTGTTTAGGTTCAGGGCTTCGGATAGAGACGGAACCCAGAGCTCTGTAAATTGCTTTATTCGATTGTCTATTCAATTGTGATAATTCATTCATTCAGTCATTTTCTACCGTTTGTTCCCTGAGCGGGGTCACGGAGGGGAGCCAATCCCGGCCGGCAATCGGGCAAAGGCGGGGTACACCCTGGACAGGTCGCCAATCCATCGCAGGGCTCAATTGTGATAATAAATGATTAAAAGTGATACTTGACTCCGATTATTCTTCATAAAAGAACACGCTGCAACCACAAATGTCTGAATTTGGTGATTTTTCTGCTAAAGTGAATGGTTAATTGTTCTTTTAAAGGTTGAATAAACTGTACATCTGAAACTTTAAAAACAAAAAAACTAAGTCTTGGAATATTTGGGAAATCCATTGTCACCCAACAAAAATGCATAGAAACATATAATGATCTTTTTAAAAAAAATGAAACATTGCTGTAGATTAAACTACCTACAGTATATCAAATCAAATCAAATCAAATTTTATTTGTATAGCGCCAAATCACAACAAAAGTCATCTCAGGACACTTTACAAACCAGGGTCTATACCTTACTGTTATCAATATTATTACATAGAGAAAACCAAACAAATCCCCCTTGAGCAAGCACTTGGTGACAGTGGGGAGGAAAAACTCCCTTTAACGAAAGAAACCTCCGACAGGCCCCGGCTCTTGGTGGGCGGCCTTCTGCCTCGACCGGTTGGGGTGAGTGGATAGAGGAGAGACAAAAGAAGACAAGCAACAAGACACAACAATCAAACACTGATCAGGTCGATGTGGCTGGGGGACACTCGGCAGCGGCCAAGAGCTCCCGGGGCA